CCATTACGACTCGAGGCGGCCCTGTAGGACAGAGTAGACCCGCCCCACACGGTTCCCACCCCTGTTAGTCCGGACGGAGGCCACCCCACGCCCATCTCTCGGACGTGGCCGGTGGCTTGGAACCGCCCACTTTTCTGTTCTTCATCCCTCGAGAGCTCAACCTTGGCTCACCAGGGCCCCTACAAGAGAGGCCTTAAAAAACAAAAACACAGCCGCCCACCGCCATCCAGTCGGTTCTGACTCAGAGCGGACCCTCCTTGGGTTCCGAGGCTGTATATCGCAACGATAGGAGATTGCCCATCTTCCTCCTGGTGGATTCGAACTGCCAGAGAGATGTGCAGCCTTGGGGTTACTGGCGTAACTTGCTGTGGACGGCAGCAGAGCCTTTTCTTGAGAGAGACAGACGTAGGACATTTACAAAGATGTACAGAAGAATACATCCTTCGTCTTGGAAGACAATGTATCACTTCAAAGAAACATGTTTCTCCTCCTCTTAGACCCTCATCTCTGTATGTTTCCATAGCTCGCGGTTCCTATCTTTATGACAATGTACAGAGACTGCTTTTTATACAGTTCTTCAGCATAGCTAGCCCATAGTGTTCTTGGAGCACAGAATATCAGGATTCTAGCGCCGGCCTTGCTGGTGTGACCTCAAGCATGTCACTTGACCTCTCTGTGCTCCACTTTTTGTATAGGTGCAGTCAAGGCTATACTGAGAAACGAAATCATTTTTGGAAAGCACTGGCTTTCCTGGTGGACAGTGTTCTAGAAATAGTTTGTAAAGCACATCTCTCTGCCTCCACATTTGAACCACAAACATCTTGGGGTTTGCATCTGTGACTTAACCTTTGTATTTCTGGTGTTTTGCTCAGTGCCTAGCCATGTGGTGGTAGTGGTTAGGTGCTGGTGAGCTGACTCATAGTGACCCTCCGAACATTAGCCCTGGGCCCTGTCTGTCCTGTGCCATCCTCTGCCATAGACCCTCAGTAAATGTTGAGTGTACCAGTGAAGAGTTCGTTCTTGTTTGGAGGACCAGGAGGAAAGGTTTCATGGGGAAAAGAAAGGCATACTGGGGCCATCCCGGTGCTCTGGTCTCTGGTCTTCAAACATCAAGGTTCCACTTCTCCCTCCTGTGTTCATTTTCTTGATCTTATTGCCACTTTCTGCTTAATTTGCTCTGTTTGGATGTGAGCAGGGAGCCCTTGTCTTAATGTTTGGCTGCTAACAGAAGGTTGGTGATTTTAGCCCATGATCTACTCAGGAGGAAGTCAAGGGAATCTGCTCCTGCTTAGAGTGACCGCCTCGGAAACCCAGTGGGGCAGTTGTGGGGCCTGTAGGCTGACTATGTGTCAAAGTCGCCTTCTTGCCTGTGTGCTGCTTAGGGGGTAAGCGCCAGGAGAGCAGAGGCTTCACTTGTACACCTGTTGCCTACAGCAGTGCCCGGCGTGCTATCTGTTGATCATTTCTTCAGTCACTCTTTGTTGAACATGTGAAAAGGCAAGTCAGGAGTCTGTGTGCCAGCTTTGACAGTGTGTTGGCTTTCTGTCTCGGGGGAGGGACCATCGGAGCTGACACAGAGTGTCCTGGGAGGAGGCAGCAGAAGCCAGACGGTGCCTGAGGTTTCAGAGCATCTTCCTCCTTCTTAGTTCATGCCCATTTTCCTTGTTTTGCGGGTGTCACCATCTATTACTCCTAAGCATTTTCATTGTCAAGTATTTGGATTAGCTAACTGATTTTAAAACTCTTTTTTCTTAGAGGTGGAACTTATATTTTCTGTGAGGAAGTTTAGAACCAGCTTTTTTTTAGATCTAAAATTCTGATACAAGTCCCCCTCCACCCCCCTTTAAAAAGAATTCAGAGTTAGGAAGCCATCTAGAACATTTCCAGAGCTAAGAGAAGGCCCTGCCTCATTGGAAGCAATCGCTCATCAGTGAAAGAGATGCATAGGAAGCAGTTTCCTTCATTCAGCAGGCCTGGATCGAGCAGCTTCTTTTTATTGAGTCCTGTCATATTAGGGAAACAAAAGCGACAGCCCTGCCGTGTAGGGCTGCACAGTGTCCAGGCTTCCCTTGCTGTCGGAGATTATGTCTGGGAAACCTGTAAGTCAAAATGGCGTAAACTAAAGCAGCATAGCCATTCATTTATTTATATTGGAAAAGTTTTTCATTGCTCTCAGACCCCCAGAATAACCTGAAATCATATTACAAAAACCTAAAACTCGAAGTTGCTCTGTTATGCAGTGTCCTGGGCTGCACTGGCTGTGCTGAGAGGTTTAGTGTAGTTCCTGGGGAGGGTGTGTGCAGAGGTCACTCACTGCTTTGGATGTGTGTGTGCTGCCTCTTTAATGGCTGCTGGAAAACTTTTCACCTTTTTTATAGAAAAGCAAAATCCTCCTTGGGTTTCTTTTGGTTAGTGAGAACAGGTGCTAATGTACATCTTTTGTAAAGCAAAGTGTTGTAAAGTGAACTTTCAACAAGTGGGTGCAAACACACTTGGAAGGAAGTTGTCACAGAAAGTACACACACACATTGGCAGCCTGTGGTGGAAACCCTGGGCTCAGGCTGATGGGAAGAGGGCTGCCCTTAGCGGCATCCGTGGAAGAACTGATTCTGGAACTGAGTGTGAAAGGTGCTCAGAGATCAGGGAGATGGGCAGATTTGATAGGACCTGATGGTGGGTGGTCTGGGGCGAGGAGTGGAACATAAACACACTCATTGACTCTTTTGTCTCATAAACACATACACACACACTGCCCTTGAGTTGATCATAGATAGCTATCCTCAACAACAGGAGAAACTGCTCAATAGGATCTTTAAATCTTCCTGGGATTAGACTCTATACCTATTCCCTCTGCAGTGGCTGTTAGTGGATTTGAACTCTTGACCTTTGGTTAGCAGCTGAATACTTTTAACTTCTGCATTATGGGACTCCTCTCAAGGTACTCATAAAAAGTTGTGGTTAGATGTTTGGTGTATAATGTAAAATGGGCTGGATGTGAGGCTAGATGTTGAGATCAATATTTAACTTGTAATTGATGCTAATGAGAAAAGAGGTTTTTTTACTCCTGATCGATCTTTCTATAAAGGATAAGATAAGCCTGAGGTATTTTCCCCACATTTGTAATTGTCTGGAGGTAAAGTAAGAAGCAGCCTCCCAATGAGGTTCAAAGGACTAAAAGGGGAGGGGAGAATATGAAAGGAAAATGATACAGTCTGGGGGCTTGGGCAGACTGTAACATTTTTATTACAGAGAAGCAGCATAGAGAAACATTTTGAATGATGTTATTAGGTGACCCTCTGCATAGAGAAATATTTTGAATGGATGTTATTAGCGGTGGCAGTCCATTGCACAGGCCAGAATGCCCATCTTCGATCCACAGAGTAGGTGGTGGATTTGAACCGCAAGCATTTGGGATTGCATTGTAGATTCTTAACATTAGGCCCCCAGAGCTCCCTAACATTTTGAATAGTGAAGCATATCTTATTGCCTCAGTTAATGTGAAAGAAATACAGGAACAGCCATTCCACACATAAGCCAAAATCTCTGTCCTCCACCTGGGGAACTCCTGTAGAAGTCAGGAGCAGCTGGGAGCTTGCATAAAGGCATCCTTTACAGGTCTCCAAGGGTGGGGACCATGGAGTGCTGGTTTGCTGGACTTGAGTTTACCTTGCTGGTGGATGCCATGCGCCAGCACTGAGACTTAAGAGGGACAAGATGAGCAGGAAGGTGAACATTGTAACAGACAAGCGCTGGGAGACATTTAGGAAAGATGCAGAGAAGAATGAGCTGAAGAACTAAGTAAAAAAGGGCCAGTGTTATTACACACAACAGAGACACAAACTTAGTGAGGGAAAGTGAGGTCATGCGATCATGTAGACAGGAAGTTACGTTCATTTTATAACTTGAACTTGGAACATATGATAAGTAGTTCAGTGTTAATAATACCTGCAGTGAAGATCCAGCTAGGCAGAAATGGAGAGAACTCTGGGTTAGAAAACAGCGTTCCTAGTGATTTGACCTTCTCTGCTGACTGACTGACTGTAATATTGTGTGAGTTTTAGATTGGCAGTTAGTGGTTGACCCACTTTGCTTTGGGAATGCAAATACCACATGTTCACTTGTACAACAAGTGCTTTGTAGGTAATAGCTTGGCACACCCCTTCTGTTAACAGAGGAAATGTCTAGCTTGTTGTCATTACTGTGAAAATAAAATAAAAATAAAATTCTGTTTATTAGTAGTGGATTAACATTTGATTCATTTCTTACAAAAGTATTCAAGATAATATATAAATATAGTAGGAAGAGATTTTGTTTTTATTTTAAACTATTTATATAAATACTTTTTAAAAATAGGAGGAGCGGTGTCAACACATTTAGTGATTGGAAGGTGAGTTTATGAGTGAATTAAAATTTTCCTTCTTTTGTTTTTTCTTATCCATGTTTTCTAGATTTTACCCCTTCTGTCTCCCTTACCCCTAAAGTCATTAGTTTTTTCCCTCTGATGCAGAAATACAAGTTTGTAAAACTAGGAGCTGAAATTGCTAAGTCTGCCTCACATACCCACAGAAGTGTACACTTTGACCTGTGTCCTCTCTGTTCTGTTCCAGAGGATTCCACAGATGTTGGTGAGGAGGACAGCTTCCTTGGTCAGACGTCTGCTCATACGTCCACCCCACAGACATTCAGTTACTTCTCGCAGGCATCGAGCAGCACCGACCCCTTTGGGAGTATTGGGCAGTCACCGTTAACAACTGCAGCACCGTCGGCTGGACAGCCAGCGTTCTCTAAGCCACCTGCCGTGGTCCCTTTTACCACTGGACCCCAGGAAGTGCTGAATGCCTTCCCACCATCCATCTCCAAGGCTCAGTATGGTGCTCCGCCCCCCCCACAGATGGGAATGAATGCTTATCTGCCTTCTCAGCACTCCAGTCTCCCTCCTCCAAGTTTTGGGACCCCACCTCCAGGCGGACTGCAGCAAGGGAGCAATCCATATCGCCATACCCCTGCCAGCAGCCGGGTTAACCCGTACATCACACCGCCAGAGCTACAGCAGTGCCAGCCCCCCAGCCATCCCACCCCCCCTCCACCTTCAGGACCCCCTGTTCACATGTACCAGATGCCTCCCGGATCTCTGCCACCGGTACGCAGGCAGGCTTTTCTAGCATAATAATCCACCCCTACTAGTTCTTTCTCATGTCCGCCTGTGCTTTAAAAATGCCTGGTGTTCTGTCATCAGTATGGTAGCATTACTTACAGAGGATATTCTGTGTAAGTAACATTGCTTTTTCTTAAAGGTCGCTTCTCTGTAGTTTAGTTTTTGTTTTTTTTTAAATCGATAGATTTTACTTTTGAGAGCTGATTTAGGATTACAGAAGAATGGAGAGTAGAGAGGGCCTGTATTACCTCCCGCTGATAATTCCCCTCTCTTTAACATTTTGCATGGAATGAACATTTATTTAAATCGATAAAGGTGATCCACATCTTGGTTTTTATCACCTCTTTGTTGAAGTGCAGGAACCTTGATAATACAGTGCTCACGTGCTTGGCTGCCAGCAAAAAAGATTGGCAGTTCACATCCCCCAGCTGTTCTGGGGCAGAATGACGTGGCCATCTCCCTCTGTCAAGTGACAGTCTTGGAGACCCTATGGGACAGTGCTGCTTAGTCCTGCATGGTCACTGGGACTTGGAGTCCACTCTGCGGCAAGGGGGTTGGTTTATTTGAACTAACTGTGGAGTTAAACAACTAAGCTACGTGCTGGCATTTTTCTCTTCTATACTAATGTTCTCTAGGGACCTGTGAGAGTAGAAACAATTACTGTCTTAACGGACTGCTAGCGTTTCATGTTTTAATTAATTACACTGTTTATTCAAAACACTCAGTTAACAGGACTGAAATTTATTACCTCAGTACTTTCTTTTATTTGCATTTGTAGAGTTTGGATTTAGACAGCTTAAGTCTTAGAGGTGTGACAGGTACTTTTTTTCGCAATTAATTGTTCAACTGAATTCAAGACAGAAAACATCTGAATCAAAGAAGGAAAAAAATTAAAAAAAATAAAAGAACCTAGCCCATTGTCTTTAAGTCTCTTGATGTACATTGTTATAGCTAATTTTTTTGCTTATTTTAATTTTATCTTTAGGATAAATTCTTAAAGATGGGATGACTGTGTCAAAGTGTATATGCACATTTTAAAGGTTAAAGGAATTTTGGAACCAGATGCTCTGCCGGGGAAGGAGGGACACTCTCCTCCTGTACCAGTCAGATATGATTTGACGGTACACTCACACAAAAATAATAAAATTAAAAAAAAAAAGGAATTTTGGAGGATATAGATTGTCCGATACTGGTTTAGGTTACCGTCAGTGTGAGGAAGCCTCATTCTCTTTCTGTACTTTTTACAATTTTAATTGCTTGGAGCCTAGTTATTAAATAAAACTAAACCATTAAACAGAAATAAAAATGACTCCTTTGGTCACTTTGGGTCAGAAGCAGATGCTGAGCTGTTCACTGTTTGTCCCTTCCAGATGCCTCCCTCAGGGCAGCCAGCCCTGCCCTCGCCATCACAGCAGCAGGTCCTGGCCAGACCGCCAGTCCCCTTGGTGCAGGCGCCACCTCCTTTCCTTCTTCAAAACCAGTATGAACCTGTTCAGCCGCACTGGTTTTACTGCAAGGAAGTAGAACACAGACAACTGTGGACGCCTTTCAGTGCATATGACTCTTTGAATCTTGAGGAAATCTATAATTCAGGTATGTACTGATTGTACAGGGAGCTCAGGTGGTCTAGTGGACTGCCAACCCAAAGGTGGGTGGTTCGCATACATCAGCTGCTCCACAGGAGAAAAACCAACAATCTCCTGACATGATTCACGGCCTCGGAAAGCCTGCTAGGGGGTTAGCCATGAGTTGGCGCTGACTTATTTTTTTTTAATGGATAATTTAATGAAAATTTGCAGGAAACTTGGATTTCCATCCATTCATTATTGCATGATATCCTCCTTACCCTTCTAGTTTGCTTTTCTCTTTAGAAAGATTCTTTTATTGTTGCGAAATTTCCCTACCTCTCCTCGCCAGTCTACTTTGCTATGCGCCTCTTATTCTGGACTCTTGTCATGCATATAATACCTAAGCATATATTTATTTTAGACAGTTTCCCGTCTCATCTATTTAAATGCGGTGTTCATTATATATCCCTTCTTTTCTTAGTTTCTCCACAGCTCCTTTGTCAGTCCTGTTTTGTAACAGTAGCATTATGCAATATTTGACCTTTTGTGACTGAGATATTTCAGCATAATGTCCTGCAAGGTCACCCATTTTTTATAATGTTTTATGAATTCCTTGTTTTTCAGTGCTGTGTAGTATTCCATTGTGTGAATATACCGCAGCTTCTCTATCCATTCATTTGTTGATGGGGCAGTGAGAACTTTTATCCGTACAACTCTTGCAGCTCAGCTCTTTATAGGTGCACTGATGACAGTTAGGACAGTTAGCTGTGCAGTTGCACCTTGCTTTATTTTACCCCTGGTTGTTGCTGTTAGGTGCCATCAAGTCTGCTAAGACTCATCATAGTGAACTTATCCTGTGCCATCCTCACCATTGCCAAAAGGCTCCAGCCCATTGTACTGTGCTAATCCATCCTGCTGAGTATCTTTATCGTTCTCTGACCTCATAAACTCTGATGCCTTTGAGAAAAGAGAGTCATCATTTTGAGCAGCATAGGTTAATTTGAAACATTTTAAAACACAGCTGAGTTTAGTCCTTTGTCTTCACCATCAGCTTGTCACTGTTTTCATTAGTTAGTATTTCTGCGTATGCTTTGTGGGGCTAAGATGGGACTTTGTACTCTAGTTCAGCCGGACCCTGAGAGTGTGGTTCTGGCGACGGACGGAGGACGCTACGACGTCTACCTCTATGACCGAGTGAGGAAGCCCGTGTACTGGGAAGAGGAGGCTGCCCAAGTGAGACGCTGCACGTGGTTCTACAAGGGGGACACAGACAGCAGATTTATTCCCTACACCGAGGAGTTCAGTGAGAAACTAGAGGTATGTGCTCATTATTCGTCTATGTGCTGCTCTAATAAAACATGACGTGCGGAGCTTAGTCTGCACTGAGTGGCGCTGTCTCTTTTGCGGAAGGCCTGTCTTGCGATTGGTCACATGGAAGATTGCTTAAAAAAAGCAATGTTGTCATTTGTGAAGGAGCCCTGGTGGGGTGGGCATTAAATGCTACCCTGCCAAGCAAAAGGTCAGTGGTTTGACCCCGTCAGCCGCTTCACAGGAGGAAGATGAGCCAATGTACTTGTGTAACGAGTGATAGCTTTGGAAACCTGATGGGGGTTGAGGTCTCACCGTGGCAGAAAGTTTGGTTTTGGTTACTTGGTAGAAAAAGAATAAAAGCTGTTGATAGAAAAAGAAGATATTATAATACTAACAAAACTATAACCCTGCTTGCTGAAACTGAGGAGGACCTGAAGCACTTGCTGCAGAAGGTCAAAGACTACAGCCTTCAATATGGATTGAGGCTCAATGTCAAGAAGACAAAGATTCTCACCACTGGGCCAGTTGACAGCATCAGGATGGATGGTGAAGAGATTGAGATTGTTCACAGCTTTAGTCTGCTTGGCTCCACAGTCAACACTCTTGGCACCAGCAGCCAGGACATGAAAAGACTTACTGGGATGGGAAAGTCTGCTGTTAGGGACCTCTCCAAAGTACTTGAAGAGCATTGGTGTCACTCTGGAGATAAAGGTGCACCTGATACAGACCATGAGAGTTGGGCAGTGATTAGGGTGGATAGGAGAATCGATGCCTTTGAGCTGTGGTGCTGGAGAAGAGTATTGAATGTTCCATGGACTGCTAAGAAAACAAACAGATTCATCTTGGAGGGGGTAAAACCAGGCTGCTCCTTAGAGGCAAGGATTCTGAAGCTTCGTCTGACATACTTTGGACATGTTGCAAGGAGGGACCAGTCCTTGAGAAGAATGCCATTCTTGGGAGGGTGGAGGGACAGTGTAGGAGAGAAAGACCCTTTATGAAGTAGATTGATTTAGTGACTCGGGTAATGGGGGTAGGTGTGTGGAGAGAGTAAGATTGGCACAGGATAGAGGAGGGTTTAAGGCTATTATACGTAGGGTTGCTATGAGTCTCAGGCGACTTGACGACACACAACAACACAATAACAAAACTACAGACTACATAGGAAAACAAGCCAAAAATGCCTGGATAAATGAGGATAATGCAGCTGCTGCTGTTAGTCTGATCCTGTGCAGCTAAATCCTTTAGAAGAACTCAGCCATTGTTTACCATTAAGTTAAACTGTTGTTTGAAGACGACTTCAGGAAGGTTTTGTCTTAAGATTTAATGTTCAAAGATATCACAGAACAGTAGTTTGGGGGATTCATCTGATTCTGTGTCCAGAAGTCTTCATTTTCACCGTTAGGATTTGTCTATAGAATCTTCTATCAAAATGTTCAGTAATGGTAGCTATGATTCTACCATGATAGCTGGATAGTGTGTGATCGGTTTTTTTAAAATTAGAAATATGTTGGGTTTTTTTTTTTAATTTTATTTTTTATTATTTTTTGTGCATGTACCGACAAATCAGATCTGACTGGTACAGGAGGAAATTGTCCCTCCTTCTCCGGCAGAGCATTTGGTGGATTAAAAGCGTGTACCTTTGGGAGAAATATGTTTAAAAATTTGAAAATCCAGGTGGAAAAGAGGGTCACATGGATGGGCTGATAGACAGGGATCATCATTGAATGATTCCCCAGGAGACACAGGAGGGTCAAATGCATGTCTGATGGAGAGGGGTCATCATCAAAGAAGGTTTCTTTGGTTGACAGATTTGTCAGGTACTCACCTGGTAATACAAAAGAAATGTTTTTGGCAGTGGGTGTGGTTCAGGTTCCCCTCACTCCGTGTTGAGCTTTTCTCTGGGAAATCCTCCCGTTTTTACCGACTGAGAAGCAGAAGCAGAGGAGTTTCTTGAGAGGAAGAGGACGAGGATTGGACAGTCCGACAAGGCTGTGGAGTCGGCAGTCGTGCATGGGAGCAGTGCTCATCAGGCGTCTCTCCTCACTAGTTGTGTGGTCTTGTGAAACTCTGTACTTAAACTCTCGGGGCCGCTGTAAAATGGAAGTAATATTGTTTAGGGGGGATGAAAAGTAATTCATTAATGAGGTAATGTATACAAAGTGATAAGCACACTATGATGACCAACTAGGAAATGAGAGTTGCTATGACTACTGTTTTTATCACCGCACTGTAATTTTCTTCCATACTTCTTAGAGTGATGGCTGTGTCATGGGATTTTACATTTCTGTTTTCTGTAGGCTGAATATAAAAAAGCTGTCACCACCAATCAGTGGCACCGCAGACTGGAGTTCCCCCGTGGAGAAACAATTGTTATGCACAATCCAAAGGTAGTGATGTAGTTGGCTAATTGTAATAATTACTTTCCTGGAGGTTTCTGTTAAATGTTCATTTTTGGTAGTTTTCACAGTGAGGCTATATTTGTAAAGAGATTTGCTTTTTAAAATAGTTTTCTGTGGTTCACATTGGTCATGGAAACCAAAACAGAGTTACATTTTTTTCCCCTCATGAAGTTTCTGTTTATTGGCAGCATATTAGCTGAGGCTTAGTATACATCATAGAAGTTGCCTAATACATTTTTGTATTTAATCAGCAATTGATTAGCTTTCTCTCTAAAGGGCCAGAGTAAATCCTTGAAGCTTTGTAGGCTGTTTAGTCTTTGTGGCAGCTCTGCAGCTCTGCAGCTCTGCAGCTCTGCAGTTGTGGCTTGAAAGCAGCTATAAACTACATATAAATGAGCCTGACTGTTTTCTAATAAAACATTGTTAAAATAGGCAGAGGGCTAGATTTGGCCTGTGGACCAGAATTCACTTACCCGTGCCCTTGACGATGGCTTCTTTTAACCTTTCATGGAAAAAAGGGCATCGTTTCTCTTTTCATGTAGTCTCCATGAACTTTTCTCTCAAAAATACATTAATGATATTTTGATTCTTTTACTTACCCTTCTTTTTCTTTGCAAACTCCAGATTCCTCCTTGCAATACTACTACTGTGTCAGGGCCAAGTTTTAGGTGAAATGAGGGGTTCCAGTAGTGCTTGGCACACAGGAGTCTCTCAGAACACAGTGGGGTTTTGTTTTCCAGAAGAGTGTAATGAGAAACAAGAACCCTAGTCTATCTACAGCTGTAATCCTTACTGATACTAAAGTAAGAAGAGTTCATAATAAACAGTTTAGGTCAGTATTAAATAAAAAAGCTGCCTTGGCTATTCCTTCACCTTATTTTCTCTTTTTTGTGAAAACTAATCCTTGTTTTATTACATAAATACAGAAATTTTGCGTACAGTCATGCATGCATTCAGTCGTGTGTGTGTGTGTGGAGAGGGTATGGTGTAAGGTGCTGTTGAGGTGGCTCTGACTCAGCGACTCTGTGTACAACAGACCAGAAGCGTGTCTGATCATCTTCATCATCGCTGTCGTGCTTCAGCCATTGCTGCAGTCACTGCGTCAGTCTCTCTCATGGAGGGTCTTTGTCTCCCCCGTGGACGATCTAGTTGTCCAGGCGTGACGCCCCTTCTGAGGACTGGCCCTCATGAAAACATGCCCAAAGTATGGAAGACGGGTGGTAGCCATCCCTCCCTCAAAGGAGTACCCGGACTTTTCTTCCAACCCAGATTTTGTTTGTTCTTTGACATGCCACGGTGGAGTCCATATTTTTCACCAGCACCATAATTCAGAGGCATCACAGTCTTTCTTAATCATTGTCTAACTTTATATTATTTTTTTTTTGTCTATCTATACTGTATACACACACACGTACACATTTTTAAAAAAAATTCTATGACTGTGTGGCATAGGACTAAATTGAATATGTTTGTTTGTTGTTGTCATTTTATACTGTCGAATTGGAACTAACGCATAGCTGACCCCCCAGTGGGTTTTCCGAAGCAGTAAATTACACGGGAGGAGATTACCTGTCTTTCTCCTGTGGAGCAGCTGGCGGATTCAAGCTGCATGTCTTTGGGTTAGCAGTACAACTCCTTCTCACTGAGCCATCAGAGCTCCCCAAATTTAATGTGGTTGATTCAGTAGAATAGATACTGCTCCAGAAAGTGATGGAGAAATCAGTTACGTATTTACGTTGCATGTTTTTAGAAAGCAAAATCTCCTCCATTGCAGATAGCTTTTCCTGAATTTCTTATGTGTGAACCTGGATTTTTATGTTACATTAAAAAAAGTTTTTTAAAATTATTTTTGTTACATTTTTAAAATCAAGATTTATTTTTAAGATTTATTATTTTTTATATGTTGTCAAGTCATAACCGGCCCATAGCTGACCCTCTCGTGGGTTTTCAGAGGCAGTTACTTGCTCGGCGAGAGATTGCCCATCCTTCTCCTGAGGAGCAACTGGCGGGATTTGAACTGTGTGCCATCGGGATTGCAGTGCAACTTCTTACCATGCGGCCGCCAGAGCTCCCTTTTATTCTATCATGTTCTAGCATAAGCATCAGAAATACTGGCATTTGCCTGGTTAATTCTCCTATTATATCCTCAAGGTTATTGTCCAGTTCCAGCCTTCCTCAGTGCCTGATGAGTGGGGAACCACACAGGATGGACAGACAAGGCCTCGGGTCGTCAAACGTGGGATTGATGATAGCCTTGATGAAATTCCTGACGGTGGGTATGGTGTGACTAGAAGGCACGTTCGGTTTTCTATCATTTTAGCGCCATTTTGTAGCACGATGAAAACACAGTTACTAGAATTACCACAATGTGCAGAAATCAAGCTTTTGTACATCTTTCTTTCAAATTTTATCACTTTCACTTTTGTGTAGTAGTGATACACAAATCAGATAATACAGATTCTGAAATATATGAGTATATTTTGGAGAAGCACTTGTTGGTTAAAACTAGACTTTGGGTATTTCTTTCACACCTCAACTACTTTGTACTAATCTGGTACTTGACTCTGTGAGCTTACATGCTAATGGGCCAGACATAGGTGTTTTAGACTTTGTGGGCTGAACCAGCCTCTGTTATAGCGACTCAACTCTTCCATGTAGGGTGAAATCAGTTCTAAAGAGTATTTAAACAAATGAACACAGCCGTGTGCCATTAAACCTTTACCTAGGGACCGAGGAGGACCTGAAATGCTTGCTGCAGAAGGTCAAAGACAGCAGACTTCAGTATAGATGGAAGCTCAGCATCAAGAAAACAGAAGATTCTCACCACTGGGCAAATTGGCAGCATCATAATGGATGGTGAAGAGATTGAGATTGTTAACAGTTTTCGTTTGCTTGGTTCCATAGTCTACACTCTTGCTACCAGCAGCCAGGAAATCAAGAGACGAATTGCACTGCAAAAGTCAGCTGTCAGGGACCTCTCGAGAGTACTGAAGAGCAACAACGTCAGGCTGGAGACTAAGGTGCACCTGATCCAGGCCGTAGTCTTCGCAGTTGCATGCTATGCATCAGAGAGCTGGACAGTGACTAGGGATGATAGAGAATTGATGCCTTTGAGCTGTGGTGCTGGAGAAGTGTTGAATATACTATGGACTGCTAGGAGAAAAAAACAGGTTCTTCCTGGAGAGTCTAAAACCGGGCTGTTCCTTGGAGGCAAGAATTCTAAAGCTTCATCTGACATACTTTGGGAATGTCACAAAGAGGGACCAGTCCTTGGAGAGGAACATCGTGTTTGGGACGGTAGAGGGACAGTGCAAGAGGGGAAGACCCTTGATGAGATGGATCGATTCAGTGATTGGCGTAATGAGAATAGGTGTGTCGGAGACAGGGAGGTTGGCACAGGATAGAGCAGGATTTAGGGCTCTTGAGAAAGGGTCGCTATGAGTCACAAGTGACTTGACGGCACATAACAAGAACCATCCAAATTGTCAGCAGAATTTGACCCAGGAGCTATGCATAGTTTGCCAGTCTTCTCTAGGAAGTGGGGTTTTATTTCTCTAGTGCCATTTATGTTTCGACAGTTAGATATATTTATGTTTGTTTCATTGTCTTATGAAATTAAAGAATAAATAATAACTTAAAATTTGCCGTTGTTGAGTCAGTTTCAACTCATTAGTAACCCTTCATCCAGTTTCCGAGGCTGTGTATTGCTATAGGAGGAGAATGCCCAGTTTTCTTCCTCAGAGCCCTGGGTGATTTGAGCTGTTGGCTTTTGGGTTAATAGTGTAATTTGCTACAGACTACACCAGAGCTCCCCTCCAAAATAAACAGACAATTGGATTAGGAAATCTGAATGAAATAACCAAGTAGAGAAAAAGTCAGTAGATTTAGCTTAGTGATACTCATTTAAATGTATGAATCTTACAAAACAAAGGAAAAGGGCTTGGGGAAAAGATTGTAGAGCTTCTGATTGTCAGGTTGCTTCTTGATGTGGGGGCTTTGTGCCCTGGAGCCTCCAGAGGTAAGAATTTCTGGTCACCACTGATGGCCTCTGGGAACAGAACATTTCTTCCATGTCCTGATCTACTTTGTTGCTATTTTAGCTGGATTCTTCTCATTTTTTTGTGACGAGACTGAACATTGCTAGTCAGGAAGGGTCACAAAGTTCTTTTGCTCATGTGTGGATGACAGAAGGGTATCGAAGAGTATTACTGTTTAAAAATTCAGCTGATTTTCATCTGTGATTGCTTTGTCTCTGTAGGGGAGATGCCTCAGGTGGACCACTTAGTCTTCATGGTGCATGGCATTGGACCTGTGTGTGACTTGCGCTTCAGAAGCATGATTGAATGTGGTAAGTGTTAGTCCTCATGTTTTATTTCCTGGAGTCAGTGGAGAATGATAGAGGAGCTCTGAAATGTTCCTTTTTTAGAGTGGTTCTCAGCTGTTTGCTACATAATGAGATCGAGACTAGATCATAAGAGGCAGGTTTAACTTAGTGGGGAAAATGAATCTGGCATGATGTGCCTTACTGCAGTTGGTTCTAGACTCTGAAAACTTAGAAGGGATCTTGGAAACAAGCTGACCTTCCTGGCCGCAGGCCTCTTCCCGAGCACCTCCTCTCACCAGGCATACCTCTGTGTTGAATTGATTTAGAGCGAGTTTGGTTGTGAGACACTGCTTAATGGAGCTGTTGACTCTGCCTGGTTTAGTTAACGTTTTATGTTCATGTGGTAATAATTCATACGTTGGATGCTTGGTATATGCCATGTATGTAACCTTGCGTTGCTGTTTCATTTATCGATCATCGTGACCTTTCAGAGCTTGAACTCTTATCCCATCATCCCTGTGTAGGGAAGAGCTAGTGTCCTTGGGGGTCCTGGCTCTCCAGCATCCCAGGCAGTAAGTGTTAGACGGGTCCTCAGGCAGGTGGTTTGATACACTCTTGACCCCACAATGCCCTGCAGTCTCCTAGTAGTGGTGGCCACGGTAATGTCTTCAAGTCACCTATGCATCTTTCTTAAAATAATGAAAAGTTAAAAAAGAACTTCTAAAAGCTGGCTATATTTTTTGACAAAGTTTTTTATCTTCATTTTTTTCTTGGAAGTGAAAAAACACTGGCATGGTTGAGATAATTGGTAATCTCTCTTTTTTTCTATTTTTTTTTTAATTGGGAAAAACATATTGGGGGTACAAGGAGGTGAGGGTTGGGGGCAGAAGGGTGAGGATGGTCCAGGATGCAGTTGCAGAGCTGCACAGTTTGGT